GTGTGTGTGTGTGTGTGTGTGGTGTGCATCTGTGTGTGAGTGTGTGGTATGCATCTGTGTGTGAGTGTGTGTGGTGTGCATCTGTGTGTGAGAGTGAGTGTGTGAGTGAGTGTGTGTGTGTGGTGTGCATCTGTGTGTGTGTGTGTGGTGTGCATCTGTGTGTGAGTGTGTGTGTGTGTGTGTGGTGTGCATCTGTGTGTGAGTGTGTGTGTGTGTGTGTGGTGTGCATCTGTGTGTGTGTGTGTGTGTGGTGTGCATCTGTGTGTGAGTGTGTGGTGTGCATCTGTGTGTGAGTGTGTGTGGTGTGCATCTCTGTGTGTGTGAGTGAGTGTGTTAGTGAGTGTGTGTGCGTGTGTGTGTGTGTGTGTGTGTGTGTGGGGTGTGTCTGTGTGTGAGTGGGTGGGAGTGTGTGTGTGTGTGTGTGTGAGAGAGAGTGTGTGTGTGTGTGGTGTGTATATGTGTGAGAGAGTGTGTGTGTGTGAGAGAGTGTGTGAGAGTGAGTGTGTGTGTGTGTGTGTGTGTGTGTGGCGTGCATCTGTGTGTGTGTGTGTGGCGTGCATCTGTGTGTGAGAGTGTGTGTGTGTGTGTGTGTGTGTGTGTGTGTGTAGTAACAGAGCAATGTTGGGAAAAGCTCAAGTTCCACAGCCAGAAAAACCAGTTTGAATCTTGGCTTTGTCACTTCCTTGTTGTCGACCTTCAACAGGTTCTCATTTGAAACATCAAGTTTTCCATCTATAAAAGGAGTCAACATAGTGCTTGCCTGGTGGTTACTGTACTTAAGAAGCAGATCAGATAATGCTGCAAAAACCCATGCCCAATATAGTGCCTTAAACACAGTATTTACTCAGTGTGCTATAACTAATAGTCTTCTTTACAGTTTTGTCAGTATCTAAGTTCCTTGCACAAGCACGTGCACGCACACACACATACACACATTCACACATACAAATATACATGCATGTGCATGCATTTCTTCTGTTCTTACCTATAAGAACCACTGGAAGTCCTGGACCCTTGCGTGCTAGATGAACCTTATATGCCCCAAATTTCTACCCAATACACTTGAAGCATATCCAGAAATGATCCTTGCCTGAGTCTTTTAATTCCCTTTGCTTCTTTTCTCCTTTAAGGGAACTTCCTCACTACAGCTGATGGACTCAGGCAGAACTTTTCCCGAATCCTCCCTCCTATCAAGCAATCTTTTCATGCAGAGAAAGATGAGAAAAAGGCTAACAATGAACTCAGAGGGTACCTTGACAACTGGTGTGCCAATGGGCACCAATTTCCAACATGTCAAAGAACAAATAGCCTTGTCTCTGCTTTATCAGGAGGATTTCTGAATCTACATGGGAAAGTCCTTACACTTGCTCAAGTTCACACTACCCTGCTATCTGTAACCCTCAAAGCTGTGAGCAGTGGAATTCTATGGAACCCAGGATCCAGTGGTTTCCCAGGTCCTTCTCAGAGTTGTTCACATTCCAAAGAAATCTTGGTTCACAGGTTAGTGGAAATCCTTCAAGACACAGGAACGAGGAAACTTCACTTTTCATTACTTAGGATTTTCTTGAATTTTATTATCAAATCTTTATTATAAAAACACTGAACAAAAGTGAGAAAACAGAGTGGTTAAAAACACAAACTCTGGAGCCAAACAGTCTCAACTGTTCTCCTTACTAGATGTGTCCACTGGGTAAGTTACGTAATATCTCTGCTTCTACTTATCATTTGTAAAACTGGGATAGCAACAATGCCTACTTTATATAGAGTTAAGGGAATTGAATAAGTTAATATTTTAAAAATCATTTAAAAGGAAGCCTAGCACATAGTGAGTGCATATGGATTTGTAAAACAAAATCTAGACTAAAAATAATAAAATAAACAAATTAACTAGGTTAATTTCTCCATGGATCTAAGATGTCTTTATCCAAACACACATTTTTAAATGTTGCAATAAATGTTTATATACAATTATGTACTTTTGTGGTTATTCATTCTGTTTTGTATATTGCCAATGTCCACAATTATAATTTATGGTGATTGCCTAAAAGAATTATAAACTAACTGCCCAATAATTCATTGATAAGTACCAATGGACACTGACACACTAGATTATAAACTATCACTTTCTGTTTCAAAACTCAGTCTCATATTTCTAGGCAACAGCCTTTCTATGTTCTATCATTAGTGATCTCCTTTACTAAGCTGTTCCAAAGAGGTTAACCTTGATCAACAGTAAATACCCCCACTCAATACTGAACTAGTTTTTTTCTAAAATTCAGATTCAGTATTCCACATTCTGTCACTTAAAGAGCACCTAGACCCTCCCCTTGTAATAGCAAAATTTGTTCCTATAATTATGCACAAAATGCTAATGTAAAGCTTTCCATCTAATATTCCAGGCAGTGTCTTTCCAGCCAAAACACTACTGTTGTCACAAGACTTTCCCCTTAATAATGTACACTGATCTACAAATAAGAGCTCTTGCTAGAATGCCCCATTCCCCAGTCATGTTCCTCAAATATGGATTCTTTGTAGACCATAGGCGAAGCTTAAAAGCTTTTTTCTACAATTTCCTAACAATGGAAAAAGGGATACATAACTGCCGAAAGGTTTTCCCCTAGCCTTTTGACTCATATCACTCATAAGGTTTCTTCTAAAAAGAGATTTCCTGTTGTATAATAAAGACAGTCTTAATGAATTCTTAGTGAAAAACTTCCCTCGTGGTAATACTTACAGCCTTTTTTTTTCCTCCCAATGTTGTATTTTTTATTGCATGTTGTAAAACACAATAAAAGAAAAGTCTCTGATCAATTCAGTTACAGTTTCTCTTCACTATGATTTCTCTGATGTTGAAGTAAGGCCGAATGACCACTAAAGGCTCTTCCACACTGATTACATATAAAGCGTTTCTCTGGACGAATTCTTACAGAAGGCCTTTCCACAGTGATTACATTTGTAGGGCTTTTCTCCAGTATGGTTTCTCAGGTGCACAATAAGTGAAGAACTCTCGTTGAATGCCTTCCCACATTCGTTACACCTGTATGGTTTCTCTCCAGTATGAGTTCTCCGATGTGCAATGAGGTGAGAGCTGCAATTAAAGGACCTTTCACACTGATTACATTTGTAGGGTTTCTCACCAGTGTGAATTCTCCGATGGGCAACAAGGTGGCAGCTCTGGCTGAAGGATTTTCCACATTTATTGCATTCATAGGGCTTTTCTCCAGTATGAGTCCTTTGATGCCTAACAAGGTGAGCCATCTGGCTACAGGACTTCCCACATTTATTACATTCATAGGGCTTAATTCCAGAATGAATAATTTCATGTTTAGTAAGGGCTGAGCGTTCTCTGAAAGCTTTGCCACATTCTTGACAGTTATAGGGTTTCTCTCCCGTGTGAGTTCTCTGGTGAGCAATAAGGTGTGAACTCCAACTGAAGGACTTCCCACACTCAGTACATTTATATGGTTTTGCTCCAGAGTGAGTTCTTTCATGTTTACTAAGGGCGGAATAATCCCGAAAAGCCTTTTCACATTCATCACATTTAAAGGGTTTCTCTCCAGTATGCATTCGCATATGGGCAATAAGATGGGAACTCCAGCTAAAGGATTTCCCACATTCAGTACACTCAAAAGGTTTCTCTCCAGTATGAGTTCTCTGATGCCCAATAAGATGGGAGTTCCAGTTGAAAGATTTTCCACATTCATTACATACATAAGGTTTTTCTCCTGTGTGGATTCTTGTGTGTACAATAAGATGAGAATTCCAACTGAAGGCTTTCCCACATTTGTTACATTCATAGGGTTTTATTCCAGTGTGAGTCCGTTCATGCTTAGTAAGGGCTGAACGATTCCTAAAAACTTTTCCACATTTATCACATTCATAAGGTTTCTCTCCAGTGGGAGTTTTCTTATGCTGAATAAGGTAAGAACTCCAAATAAAAGATGCTCCACATTTATTATATTCATAGGGCTTCTCTGCAGTGTAAGTACTTGTATGTTGAGCAAGTAATGAGTCATACCCAAAGACTTTCTCCCATTCGTTGTATTTATATGCTTTTTCTACACTACCAATCTTTTGATGTTCCATAAAGGATGAGAAGTAAAAGATATTCTCATATTCTTTATAGTTGTACTGGTTTCCTCCAAATTGAAGCCCTGAGTGTTCATTAAGTGATGGGCTCTGGTTAAAGATTTGATGGCATTCCTTATATTCATAGAGTTTTTCTCCTGTGTGTACTCCTTTATGATCACCAAAATGTATAATATGATTGAAAGACTTCACAGCATCTGTACATTTGAACAGATTACCTCCAGTTTGCATTCCTACAGGGTAAACAGGCTGAAGAGACTGGCAGAAGCTTTTGTCATAATCATTATTTTCACAGGTAACCTTATCTGCATACATTATGGCTGAATTACATCTCCAACTTTCAAGATGTGCATCAGGTTTATAGAAATGTTCTAACTGAGAAACTCTCTGAGAAGGAACCAAGTTTAAGCTCTGGCTGTACTCTGTGCCAAGTTCACAGAATTCAGAAGCTCGCTGAGAAAGTACTTGTTTTTGCATGAAGACCATTTGCCTCAGACCTGTACTCGGGTTCATGTGATACATTTGTAATTGGTCTTTACATCCCAAAACTCCTAGCCTGGAGAGCCAAGGATCATCCCATATATATCTTTCCAATGCCATTCCATTGGATTGTTCTTCCTCAAAAATACTCTGTGCTGGAACCAATGCTTTGCTTTCAACATTTCTCATCCACTCCGAAACAGAAGCAGGGAGAGCTGTGAGTGCATAAGGATTCACTGGTGAGATTCATTATTCTTACTATAGAAAAGGCTACAGTATATTTCAGTTTCAAGTACAGACATGAAAGCCAGAGAAATACAGTAATAGAGACTGGTGAATTGTAAACATTTGCTAACTACAAAAGAAAGTATATAATCACACTAATAAAAACCACTGAGGAATACTTTCACATGAAAAAGAACATTTACAGGAAAAATTAACTATGCAGGACTGAGATACTCAAGCCATGTACATTACCAACTGGCTTGCTTAGTTGGTTCAGTCTTAGCCAACTGCTGAGAATCGAGAATATAAAATGTTGTAAATGCTATTACACCTTTTCATGCTCATGGCCTTAAAGCAAACTGTACCAATTTCTCTAGATAGCTTGTAACTAATGTCATTTCTAGTGATGATGAGAAATCTCAGTCATATGGTACTGCTGCCTATATGACCAACTTTGAATAAGCACGGTGGATACTGGCTTAAGATCACCCACGGTTCCTAGTAGACAACTTCACAGATCATCACAATTTCTCGCTTAAAATATACAACTCCATTGTGAAAATACCAGCAGGAACTTATATTTGGCTTCCTCTGGACTATATGATATTGCTTTCTATTCTTTATACTGTAATAAACCATAGCCTTAATGGTAACAAATTTCAAATCCTGTAAGTCATCTTAGCAAATA